AAGTAGCTAATGCTAAATCTTCCAAATCTCGTTCCATAGACATACGTTGTGATTGAAAGATATCCTCAATCTTATTATAATGTCTATAGAACCAACAAGTCCAGGTTCGGTTAGCAGTAATGATAGTTCTAATGATTCAAATACTGCTTTATTTTCACCACCGAATCTTACAAACATAATTGATGTATCGTTTTACATCTCATTGGTCCAAATTCTACTTAAAAATTCTGATCATTCCATAACAATCTTAAGAACAATTAGTTTCATATATACCCATTTTACACTCTTAACGTCCAAACCTAACCACCTAAAACACTTAGTCAAAGATACGCTTTTAAATGAACAAATTTTTGAACAAATGTTTTGCCATTGGTCAAGAAATATTAGAATATACTACATGCGTTTATTGGTATGGAGAGTGGGTAGAATGGCTGGAAGTATTAAGAAAAATAATAAAAAACTATTAAATTATATTAATGGTGACGGTGATAACGATGACGATTTTATTGGAGAAAATAGTTATGTTATAATCGAGTAAGTTTATTTATTGATAATTTAAATAATTAAATAATTAAATAATCAAATAATCAAATAATCAATATTTTCCATCACTGCTCCCAAAAAAATAGCATGTTAATCACCTTACAAAACAGATTAGAAAATTTACAAATATGTTTTGAATTCATATCAAATTATTCTGGAGAAATGAAAGATCTTCAAAATGCTATACAGGCCAAAATTGAAGAAAATATTCGAGGAACAAAAAATTATGACAAAAACAATCAAATCAAATCGTATATTTACCCACAAATATCTCCGCCCATCGATTCTAATAAAAATCCTAATGGAAATCAACACAAAAGAAAAATTTCAACAACTACTACCACCATAATTCAATGGATGCTAAAAAATAATCAACAAACAACGTCTTCGCTAACGTCGTCGTCGTCGTCATCTACTATTACTAACATTAGTACTTCATCGCTAACAAAAACAATGGATTCACCATCACAAACTGAATCACCATCACAAACGTCATCATCACAACAACAACAGCAACGTCATCAACATCATCATAGTTCATCATCAACATCATTAGCATCATCATCGCTAACGACTACAGAACAAATTAAACAATCAAAACCTTTACTATGGCATTACCCTTTAAACATACATGTATACGTTAGTAAAGCTATTTTTGAATACGAGGCAGTAAATCAGGATTATGCTGAATGGTGTGGTCAAGTTACTAGTCTTGACAATAATAATAATAACAACAATAGAAACATAGGAAACAATGGTGATTACAACATAAATGATCATAATAACTGGATAGAAACAAAATTTCCTAAATTAACAGTCGATTATCCAAAATATTTTGGAAATGGACTTGTAAATACAATGTTTTAAATTAATATCAACATTATTAATAATACTACCATCAATAATTCTCTCTCCTCCCTTTAAACTTATCTTTTCTAGTCTGGAATAAAACTTCAATCATATATTGAACTCTTTTTTCTATATTAGCCTCATGTAATATTGTTCTGAAACGATCAAAAACATCATTAGTTGCTCTCGGAGTAATATCTGTTAAATGGGCGCCAACTTCCCGCATAAATCCTACAGCTACCTCAACAGAATCGCTTGTAGGATGTTTAAGCAATAACATTAGTATTTGTAGTGCAACTATCTCATCAGCAACTAATTGATTACAAAGATGAGCAATGAAGGCTGTTGTTGCTAAACATGCATTCTAAAATAATATTTTAATTCTTTTATTAGTATCCATGAATATTGTTATTATCCATAGACAATAAAATAAGTGACATACCTTGTCATCACGTTTATATGCTTTACGGAATTGTGCAACGAGTCTAATAAGCACCAATTCACCAACTTGAGGCAATTTTGTGTTAACTATTGCAATTAAAGCTGCATAAACAGGAGTGAAAGGTAATGATGCAGCCTGTGCTTTCATAACAGATCTTGCAAAAAGACCTCTGCCTCTTATTAGATTTTCACCAAAAAGTTCAACTACGATGCTCTTTATATTTGAAACGCTAACCTAATTTTGAAAAAAAGTAAATATGAATTAGTTAGCAACTTAAAAACTCACAAGTTTTGAACGGACAGGTAGTGGATCAACTTTTTTTTTACCTACTTTGTTGATTAAACCGTTTATACTTTTTTTTAAAGCTTCCCAGGTGATTCTTTGGTACTCTTGGCTAGATTTGTCAGTTATAGTTTGTTGAAGTTGCCTTAATCTAGCAGGTGGAATATATACGCCTCCAGCTCTAGTGTTGATCAGCACTTTGTTGTCAGACTCTATTAAAGACATGTTTTATTTTTTGAAATGTGTTTTAAAAATAATTACGTGATATTATTAGCGTATTTATGTGACACCCAATTCACAAATTTTATTCTCGATATTAAATGAATTAGCGACAATTATATTTAGCAAAATGAAACAAAGCTTAAAATATATACTTTACTTTTTAATAATCAACTTTCTGCTATTACAGCTTTTGAATGTAGTAGTATTAGCAGGTAATCTTTCATTTATATCATTTAAAAGGTTAGGTT